CCCGGGCCTTTCTCGGTATGCCGCTGCTACCGCTACCGCTACCCCTACCACTACGGCTTCAGCTGCTGCGACTGTCACTGCTACTGTTTTTTGGGCTCTACTTCGGCGACGAGGGCGACGACGACTACTACTCCTGCTCCTACCTCCATTGCCACAGCTATTCGGCCACACAAAGACGACGAGGCGGACCGCCTGCCAGCTGCTGCGATTTTGACGTAGTGCTACTGCTGTTGCTGCTGGTATTTGTACTACCGGCGATTGCTGGGCCGCTTCTTTATGTCGGCCTTTGGTGCTTGCTACGTTTCTACGCGCTGCCAGTTTATGATTGCTGCCTTCTCGTTTGCTCGTTTGGGAGCTGGCGGTTCCCAGGGACGACCACCAACGAGCCCCTCAAAGAAGAGCAGGGCGACGAGGTGCCTCAAGCACTTCAGGGGAAGTGCCGGGAGGATTTTGTTTGGAGGTTCTCAGACTGCGCTCTTGCTTTGGTCTTGAACTTGGGATCTGGGACCCAAGAAAACCGGAAAAGGCGAGATGCACCAGGTGCGTAGTCGGAGGAGACTCTGAAGGTGTGTGAAAGCCTGGCAGGGGCGATCATCGCAGGATCCTGGCAGTGCCACTGCATATCCCTAGTCCCTTAAACAAAAAGTCTCCATTGCAGACTTGTGCCTCGCCAGTGCGCCGCCCTCGAAGCCGACGGCGATGACCCAGTTGCAGAAATTGATTCGGAGGCTCAGGCCACCAGCGGGCTGAAAGAATACTTCGGGTCAGATTCATTGTTGATGTTTGTGGACTGAGTTGCGCAAGGCTTGTTTCAGACAGCGCATGTTGACGCCAAGCTTTACGGTTTCACGCCATTGAGCCAGTTTGTGTCGGGTCTCGTAGCTGCCAGGAAGATCAAGTTGCGAGATCCTGAAAGGCCTGAGGGCAGCGGTTGAGGGGGAGGCTCTGGGCTGGAGGAGTGTTGGCAAGCAGTGGCACCGTTTTAGGGAGCACCTGTTGCTGCTTGGTGTCGTGTGGGAGTCGTGCAAAGCCAGGATGGCGTGGATTCGGATAAAGAGCCGCCGTCTTTGCAATAGTTGGCGATTCACGGTGTTGACCACAGTCCCGCACTCGGACCACAGTCCCTTTGTCCTGGGATGCCTGTTGCAGAACTATTGTGAATGAGCGCTGGTGCCTTCAAGTCTCAGCACAGAAGCATTTTAGATTTGCCTCATTACGCCGCCGGCACAAGGGATGAGCGACTGGGGACAAATGCTCCAATCGAGCACCTCTTCGATCTGAGTCCGCAGGTCTTATGAATGTCAAACAGAGCTTGCGCAAGTCGCTCGCACAAAGCACTTGAACCACACCAATTCGCAGCTTCTAAGGCACTCACGATCTACGCCCTTTTTGGCGACGACTTTCGCTCCTGGGCTGGAAATCCGAGGAAAAATCGTTGACTTCCATTCACAAAATTCGGATCCAGGCCCTTGGTTGTGCCCACACTATTCGTCATCGGAATGCAGGCAGCGACAGTCGCAGTAATAGTAGCAGTAGTAGTAGTAGTAGTAGCAGTAGTAGTAGTAGTAGTAGTAGTAGTAGTAGTAGTAGTAGTAGTAGTAGTAGTAGTAGTAATAGTAGTAGTAGTAGTAGTAGTAGTAGTAGTAGTAGTAGTAGTAGTAGTAGTAGTAGTAGTAGTACTAGTGCTAGTGCTAGTGCTTGTGCTAGTGCTAGTGGTAGTGGTAGTGGCAGTAGTGGTAGTGGTGGTAGTGGTACTGGCAGTAGTAGTAGTAGTAGTAGTCGTCGTGGTGGTAGTAGTAGTAGTAGCAGCAGCAGCAGTTGTCGTAGCATCAGCAGCGGCCGTAGTATGGAGCAGCAACGCTACCAGCAGCGGCAGCACCAGCAGACGCAGGAGTACTAGGACTAGGATGAGGACCAGGACTAGGACTAGAAGGACTAGGACCAGGGCTTGGAGCAGGAGTGAGGAGGGAGGAGTAATATAGGAGCAGCTGCAGCCAGCAGCAGCACTGGAAGAGATGACGAGCAGGAGGAGGGGCTTCCAGCCACAGTAGTCTTCCTCGTCGTAGTCGTTGTCGTAGAGTTCGTAGGGGCGACATGTGTATTCGTCGTCGTCGTGTGATGTTGGTTGTCTGAGTCATTTGGGAATCTTCGCAAGCCAGCCACAGCGGGAGAACTATTATCCCACAATGAGACCTTGTATGGGTACGTACTTAGCTGTCGACACTTCTCTAATTCGTTTTGCAATATGATGCCAATATCCACGAGTACCCTCATGCTGCCAGCCCGCAGCCCCATGTTTCCAAGCAGAGACTGCAAAAGAGTCAGCTTTGTCAATGGCACGCATCGAACAATCTTCTGCCCCAGGCCTTTGTGTAACGCACAAGCAGACCGATGAGCTGTTCAACGCCCTCACGATGGCCTCCTGCCTGAAACGGCTGGCGGCAAGGGATGCTAACTCTTCTTTATGAGGCGTGCTTTCTATCGCCCCTTAGTTATCATTGCTATGGATACCAATATGTCAGCAATTGCACACGACCCTATGTTCGGCAATGCGTTGACATCAGTAGATTGGGTATTGGACGTCTTCGAGCACGGATGTGTTTGTCTGCTTGAGTGTCGGATCTTGGGTGTTAGATCGCTGAGTTCAGAGCTGAACCCCTCTCACCTGGGAACCCTATGCTGAGTTCAAAAATGTTGATTTTTCAATCTGGAGTGAAAAAGCCGCGTGCTTTCCCACTTCCAGACTTGCACTAGTTTGCAGGGTAGCAAGACAGTAGTTACTTGGATACAGCCTCGTCTACGAAGACCCCCGACCACGTCAGTAAGAATCTGCCAAGATCGCCTGCCTCGTCTTCGGAGTCGAGATAATTGCGCAGAGCCTCGGTGAGGACCTTGGCGAGAGATAGATCGTTCGTTTTCAAGTCCCTAGCACATATCTAGTGAATCTAGTGATCGGTAACTTAGACTAGTACTTCAGGTGTCACATACATCTCAAGTTCTAATGTGTGTTATTTCGCTAGATGCACGAATATGCTTGATTATTCTGCGAGTTATCTTCGGGTAGTAGGTTAGTAGGTATGACCACGTCGGTGGAATTGACCCTCATGCTCTAGCCGAGCCAAAGGAAGACTAGTGTTCGAAGAAAACATGCGCCGGCCGGTCTTGCAAAGGCTGGCCAGATGTGGAACAGCACCGTTTTGCTTGCGTGTCGATTCAGGTCAGGAGGAATATTTCCTTGGCAGCGGGCTCGGTGACGAAATCAGACTGCTGATTTCCATCAAGTGCAGAGCTTGGTTGGTTCGTTCAATCGATAGTGACTTCCCAGGGCTGCTTGCTAAGCCAGATGTCAATGCAATCACCAGGTGTGGGCTTGAACCCACCCAAGAGTTCGGAGAGCCAGTGGCAATAATCAGCATCATGATAATACCATCAATAATCATACTAATCAAACTAGTACTATGTACAATAACAGCAATAATCATGATAGCAATCTTCATCTAATCTTGTACATCACTAGTATCTATACAAGTCCACAACCGCCACGAACCCCGAAGCCGTCAATCGCGGACTTGCATCGACTGCTTTTCAGGAACCTTGAGGGCGAGCGCAGCAGTGCCAGGTTTTTTCTTTATGCTGGACTTTGGCTCCACAGTAACTCTGATCTTCGACTTGACATGGGCCCCGAGCTCGGTCGGCTGGGGGCTACTGTAAACTTAAGCCGCTCTGAAGTTGCTGGACCTGAACGGAGTGGAAGCCTCATGTCATCATGGCGGTCTACACCCTCGCAGTCCAGTGTTCACGACTTGAGGACTTCAGGAGGTACACATGTCCCTGCAGGAGCTGAACTACTGCGATGTTGTTGAGAACCCTCGTCGATGATGGTCGCAACGCTGAAACGAGAAGCACTATGACCACTCTTGTAAGTGCGTGTGACCATTGCTTTGCTGATTGTCAGTGCGAGTCCTCTTCTTTTATTCATACCGCTGGTTTGTGCAGTCTCGCGAACAACAGCTAAGCCCATTCACACGTATAGCAGCAAAGCAGCAAAAACGCTCCTGCTGCCGCCGCACCAGCACCACCACCGTTAAGGCCAACAGCAACATCAACAAATAGTCGACGACGACGAGGACGATGGTGGCAGCAGCGACGCGCACAGCAACCCCAACAAAGACAAACAAAAGTGGGACAACGGCAACGACCGCATCTGATACCGTAAAAGCACGACTGCGCCAGAGAATCACGAGCAGTTAGTCACAAGTCGCAGCGTCTCCAAGCTGATGCACGGAGGTCTCGCGAGAGCTCTTCTGCGCTGGTGGCGAGGGAGAGGAGGTGTGGAAGTCCTTTGAGAAATATTGACGATTTTGGGGTTGAGGGCTTCCAACCGCAAGAGATGGTTTATTATGTTCGCAGGCGTTTTGCCGCAGAAGCATGTGGAATTCACACCCGAACCCGGCTTTACTTCTCAGACCCCCGTCGTCTCCTGTACACATCGAATTCGAAGCCTTCTGGGGAGAAGTCTCAGGCTCTCCGCACCAGCCGGGCCGGTCGAGCTGGCGCACGTGCAAGCCGCAACTCGCCTCTGTGTCCACTGCGTCACTGGATATTGCAACCCCGAAAACACGTGGTAGGAACCTCCTCATCGTGCAGCCCGGTATCCGTGCGTGCCTGTGATCTTCCTGCATCAGCACTGTTCCCCAGAATCGTGCAATTGACGACGTAAGAGTTCAAGGCTTCTCCGTGCCTTGGCACTTGGGGGCTGTGATGCGAAAGAGAGGCTTTTAAACAGGTCGGTCGGCTGCGGCGTTGAATTGAAGGTCTTTGATTTGCTTCTTGAAAGGGTGTTCGGTTTGAGAGTTTCTTTGGTTGTTTAGGACATACTTGGTCCAGAGGTCGACCGCATGAGGACATGTTGACTCCTTCGACGGTTTGCTCTTCCGGATCTCTTTCAAAACTAGAGACCACCGGACCATACCGCCGCCTGTTGTCAGCATTCTGCTGCAATGGCATGTCCCAGCGCAGAACAGCCCCAGCTCGTCGACAGCGGCGATGAAAACCCTGTCTTTACTCACTTGGTCAGCAGAGTGGCCAGCATGGAACCTGTCGACGCAAGCATCCTCAGAGCAACTCCCGCATCGCAAGTGCTGCAATCCTGCGGTGCTGCATTGAGGTGGACGGACCAGAATCTGTATGAACGGAGCTTTCCAGTCGAGTTGATCCAAGTTTTCTGGAGCCACAGCTGGCATGGCAACCACTACATGAAGAGGCTGCTGTTGCTTCTGCTGTACAACGGGCCTGCTGCAGCAATTGCTGCCACCATCTCAGCTCTCTTGGTGATGTACCTGCAGATTATGGGACTCCTTCCAGGCATTTCACGAGTCAGCAGGATGACCCCTTGTCATAGTTGGGTAACATTTTACATTTTTATGGGTACTTAAACCCAAGAAGGAATACAAATGTAGTTTTTAGTCCTATCCCAACAATGAACTAGGACCATCGGCGAAGAGCAAGGCATGACACTGGTGTTCGGCCCGTGGTGTACGCTGACAGCAGGACTGGTCTTCGTGGTCGTGCTTCTGCTATGGAAACCGAGGACATTGGTCTTCCTTGACCAGGCATGTATCAATCAGAGGCATGCAGAACAGAAAGCCAAGGGAATTATCAGCATTGGCGCCTTCCTGAAATATTCTGAGCAGTTTTTGCTCATTTGGGACGTCGCTTTGCAGACAAATCCTTTGGAGGCCTTGTTGAAGGACCGGACCAGACGGCGGCGGAAGGTGAGCGCGTTGCAGTTTTCATACTGGCTGAAGCGCTCCTTCTTCACGGACGGTGGCTGCGACTTCTCGTGGACAACCAAGCTGTCGCTGGCAGGTTGCTTGGCGGTGAGGCCGCGTGCGAAAATGGTGACCCTTGGAGGCCGTGGAAGCGTGTGGCAAAGGCGGTGCGTTGGCTGCAAGTGGCATGGGTTCCGGCTCACAACAAGCAGGCCTCTTGGACGCCTCCCTCAGGCTGGATTGATGCCGACGCTTGTCGAGCTCTTAATAGGCGGGCAGACGCTGCTGCTGGCTCGGCTCTGCAGCCTTGCAGTCAAGCAGTGGCTCACGCGGCTCGTGCCGCTGACGAGAGGTTTGAGTGGGCGCGGGATGCTGTGGCAGCTCAGCGAGCAGCTACGCAGGACTGGCATGATCGCTTCGTCAACATGATCAGGCAGCAGCGGCGTCAATCGGCGTGAAGCTGCTAAGGGTGGCGTTGGCGTCTAGCTGCTCTTTCGGGAGTCCAAGCTGATGTCGTTTTTCATCTACAACAACAACAACAACAGCACTTATGCTGGGCGCCTATGGTGCCTGCTAGAACTTGCAGCATTCTTGACAAGTCATGAACAGCCCGATGAGAAAGTTACTATCAGGCTGACAGCCATGGCTCCCTGCATTTTGGGCGTTGGGTTTGCCCTCTGGGCTTCAATGGGTCACTTTATTTTGTCTAGCGAGCAAACTCTTTTGGACAGCCTGGTGCTTGTGCTGACACGATGGTTCTTTTTATACCTGACCGCATCCTACTTGCGGGAGCACTACCAGAACACGGAGATTATGCTCAAGCAGCTTTCCGACTTTACAGTCCGCGGTGCCCGCTGTCATTGCTGCAACGACGGAGAGACGTGTACTGCCAAGGTTTGTGATCGCGCCATCATCGTGCGATGCCTTCAAACATGGTACGGGTCGGTCGAGGCCTTCGAGGTGACTGTAAGGACACGTGTCAGAGCCATGCTGCACCACCAGTTGGGTGGCTTGTTGTTTCCGTACAGTTGGCAAGTCATTGGTTCCTCGCCTATCGTTTGGGGCTTTGCAGATCTCATCGCGGCACGTGGGCGTGCCGGAAACTGGAACGTGGTGGGAGTTCTTGTTCTGGCCGCCCTGACTTGGTGCTTCTTCATGTTTCCCTTCATCTTCCAAGCGACAGCACTTTTGGCAAGTTATTTTCGCCAAGAACAGAGCCATGTCTGGCTGGACAGGCTGAAAAGTGCCGTGGTGGCATTTCTGGCGACTGCACTGTCCTTTCTGGCTCTGTGGACATCAAATCTCATGCCTGATGTGCTCGCGACATTTCTTTACATGGGCGGTTCGGTGATCCTTTTTGGAGCATCACGGGTGGCTCTCCAGTATCAGGCTCGGCGAACGGGACCCATGTTGGATTCCGTCGAAAAAGATGTGGGAGTGCATTCTCTGGCCGTTGTGGCTGGGAAGCCGCGGACTGATGAGTTCGTTGCCGGTCCTGGGACCATGTCAGCGTGAAGCACTATTTCACCAAAGTATGGTGGTGTTGGACCTTTTTCTGCGGCCCCGTCTCTGCTGTAGCAGTAGCCGCGAAAATCATAATGATATTGCAGACAAGTAGACTGCGATACTATCCGAAGGTAGTGGGACTGCGACTGTTCGGATACTACCTGTTTACCAGCAGTAGTGCTACCATGATATCACTTGTGGCTACGGCTACATAAACCGTAACAAAAGCGTGAGGCTTTTGGGGAACCAGTCAATGGTAGCAACAGGAGCAGTTGCTAGCAGCAGTGGTATCAGCAATACTTGCCATCACCTTTGGCAGCAGTACAGTACTCACAGCAGTACCGGTATTGCGGATCAGCAGTAGCAACAGCTGTGCACGATGCCAGCAGCGACCGTAGAAGTAAGTCTATCGCAAAGCGTGCATATTAGTGCCGTTGTGCAGTAGCCATAGTCGTCGTCGTACCCGTAGTTGATCGTCGTCGTCGCTGCCGTCGTAGGCCCGAAACTTATGAGTCAACATTCTTGCAGCGAATTCCTGAATGTTGATGGAGATTCCGCAGAAGCGTAGTAGTAGTAGTAGTAGTAGTAGTAGTAGTAGTAGTAGTAGTAGTAGTAGTAGTAGTAGTAATATTAGTAGTACTAGTAGCAGCCAAATACCCCGCATGTCTCTCAACAGAGCGCCACACGCAGATGTAGAAACACCATGCGACTTGCTTGAAGTTTCAAGCATGCCAGCGACGTCAATGGTAGCTCGAGTGCCATAAGTCACAGGCACGGAACCAGCATGCTGGTACCACAAGAGGTGACAATCGAATACCAATACTAGCAAATATTGGTATACCGGAGCTACATTATAATTGCATTGAGTGAGTCTCGGGCCAGGGCTATTGCTCCTGCAGTGGTTGTGCAGGGCAGCATTGTCATCAAATGGGAAGAGAGGGCCGACAGCACTGCGCACGCATGATCCGAAGACATATTGCATTGGTAAGAAGAAGCAACAATTGACAAAGCAGCGAATCATTCGGTTTTCAATCGTTAACTATGAACCCTGTAAGCGTTCGTGGATGGTGCTTTTTGGCTGTCTTTCCGACTCGCGTAACACACTTTGTGTCGAAAGCAGTGTCCCAAACCTACATGATTTTCAGGAGGCCTCATCCAAATTGATGCTGGCTCCTCAAAGCAACTGCTATATTGTTTCCCGGATCCGAACAGGTGTTCTCTCTGTAGGATTCTTGTGTTTATCGCTACCATCGAGTGATTCTCGCACTGCTCATAGTCTGGACTGTTCTGGCGATAGCATCTGCACAGATCAACCCAGCTTGAGCCTTTTCTTGTTTCTTGAATTTTTCTTCAGGATGAATGACAAAGCTCCGGTGAGACTCTGTGATAGAATACGAACTACCGGACCAGTCTCGTGGCATTCTCCCATGCTTCGCTTGCAAGCTCGATGAACGGGCCAAGACCCAAGGAGCTGGTTGCGAAGCTACCGGTATTCTTGTTCTGGTTGAGTTTGACGACAGTATGTTTCATAATTATAGACATAGGTTCTATATTATCGGTTCTACAATACAGAAGTCGCGATCGCATAAATGTAGATCAACTGTATGCAATGCTGGCATGGAGATGTGTTGCAGACCATGGGCTCAGCTCTGAGCATCGCGACTCGAAGCAGTTTCGGGAACGGTCACATGCTGTGCTTCTCTGCAACGAAAGGCCGCTTTTTGGGTTGTTCTCGTCTCATCGTTGTATGCTCATATGTCTACCCTGCTCAGTATCTAGGCCCCTACAAGATCGAAGGAAAGTCTTACAACACCCCATGTTCCCTCAAGGCGACAAGCATGGACCCGCCGTTTGCTCACTATCCGCACTTGCGACAGTAATACTCTGAATGGTTGGCATCAGCATGGGCAAGCTTAAGCTTATCACCAGCAGCACTCAAATAAATATGTGAGCATCAGCCGCAACGACCTTCACCACCATCGCCATCGCCAATACCACCATCGCCACCATACTTTGTGCCCCCTCGCCGTCAAGACAAGCTCAGGTACAGTACGAATCATCCGGCTCATGCGGTTAGTGAAGCTCTACAAGGCACGGTATTCGAGCTGTGGTGCTGTGGTGTTGTGTTGAGCCACAGCCTGCACTTCCCTGGCAGGCTTATTGGGTCGCGATGGAAAAGAAGAAGGAAGAGGAAGCAAGGAGCGCTCGCATAGGCAGTCCAGGTCCTGGCCCTGCTGTTTCGTCATCTTGACCTCCATCCGGCCAGAAGAATTCCAAAACGAACCAACTTCCAGCATGTACTGCTTTTCTGCAGTGAGGCGGGGGGAGGGGGGGCGGGGCGGGTGTGGCGAATAATTGCTAGTTCCATGTCCTCATAGTCATAGTCTCTAAAGTATGTACACATACATAATATGTGTATGTATATATGTATATATATATATATATTATATATATATATATATATATACACACACAAACGCCAAACTCTGCTCTCACAGTTGAGGCAGGGTTGACGGGTACCACGAGAGAGAATGCAGCCGCTGGTAGGTGTTCAGGGTTTGGAGTTCAGGAAGGTATGAGGGCACTGGAGGAAGACTCTACTTTCATGCCTTCAGGAAAGCAAATCAGAAGCCGCCAAGCAGGAGGGAGACAAATACCGCATGTAAGTGGTATGTATACACATACATATCTCCACACATACATACACATACATGCACACACGCATGCTTCCGCATGCGTTTTCCATATATCCTGTGTATAGAGAGTGAGTGTGTGTAATTGTGTTTGTGTGTGACGACACTATACATGCATGTAGTATGTATGGCCACATACAGCGATAGACAGACATGTGGATAAGCGACATTGATACGAGCACTGCATGCGATGCTCGCGATGATCACCTACTGTCCCAGCGACCTTGAGCAAGAATCGAAATAGATCATGCACGTAAGAAGCGGCAAGAAAGGTGGGGGCTCAAGTTTCACATTAACTTCAAAAGCAACAATGTTTGGTTTCAGGGGTTCGGGGCCATAGCGAAGCATCTGCAGCCAATTTGGGCACATGCCCTCAAACCTCAAACCCTGTTGCAATTCACGTTTAGGGCACACCGCCTTTGTTGGAATTGATGCTACAAGGGTAAGAAGCGTACGTTGGTATTTCCGGTTTTCCGGTCAGGTCAGTGGTACGGGGCGAGGTTCAGGGTCAAGGCCATGGGAACTTGAAAGAGCATCTAGAAGCACTGAAAGGAATTCCGAACCGTCGCATGAGCTAGCCCAAACGCTATCCGAGTAAGTGCTCCGAACGCATTGGGTTTAGTTGCTGTCCCACACCCGGCAGCAGACAGCAAGTTGGAACGCTACTCTGCCACTCTGCGAGGAAGCAAAAGTTGCTGGAGCTGAAACCGGGCGAGACCATCCAGGATGGACCTGCAAAGGGCACTTCAGGGTTGTTGGATGTTCCCCATGGATGCTTCTGACAACGGTTTAGACTGGGGTCCACGAGATTCTGGCAACCGCGGAATCTCGGATCTTAGGCTTGAGTTCTATCTTTCGGTGCTTTTGCATGAGCTATGTGGATTCTCTATCATATTCGCATGTCGGCTTCTGTCGACCGCGGCATAATGGCCATGGTTTTGGGATGAAGAGGGGTGTAGCTCAACACCGTGACATATGCCTGCTTGCTCGTGAGATTGCAACAGTATCCATCCAGCTCTCATAGGCCTCAACATAACAATAGCATGCGGGCGAGAATGCGGCGACACTTGCAGGACCTCGGGGGCTTAGGACCCATGATGTTTAAAATGAACACTTCGGGGCTTGACAGGCGGGATTGACGAACATTGCAGTCTGTATCGTAATGCAGAACCCCACCTAGGCGGTGATTTTCCGGGACCTCACGTCTTGCTAGCCTTTGACATGTGATCCTGTGAGACAACATGGGCTGTTTCTGAATG